GTGTACCTATGATGAAAATTACAGGCCTCTCTCATCTTTTTAAGTGGGAGAACTTGCACAATTGGTGGCTGACTAAATACTTTTTTTCCCCACTGTATATATATATATTATTTATTTATTTATTTTTTATCACATTTACATAAATATTCAGACCCTTTACTCAGTACTTTGATGAAGCACCTTTGGCAGCGATTACAGACTCAAGTATTTTTGGGCATGACGCTACAAGCTTGGCACACCTGTATTTGGGGAGTTTCTCCCATTCTTCTCTGCAGATCCTCCCAAGCTCTGTCAGGTTGAATGGGGAGCGTCACTGCACAGCTATTTTCAGGTCTCTCCAGAGATGTTAGATCGGGTTCAAGTCCGCGCTCTGGCTGGGCCACTCAAGGACATTCAGAGACTTGTCCCGAAGCCACTCCTATGTTGTCTTGGCTGTGTGCTTAGGGTCATTGTCCTGTTTGAAGGTCAACCTTCACCCCAGTCTGATGTCCTGAGCGCTCTGGAGCAGGTTTTCATCAAGGATCTCGCTGTACTTTGCTCCGTTCATCTTTGCCTCAATCCTGACTAGTCTCCCAGTCCCTGCCTTTGAAAACATCCCCACAGCACGATGCTGTTGCCACCAACATGGTTCACCGTAGGGATGGTGCCAGGTTTCCTCCAGACGTGACGCTTGGCATTCAGGCCAAAGAGTTCAATCTCGGTATCATCAGACCAGAGAATCTTGTTTCTCATGGTCTGAGAGTCCTTTAGGTGCCTTTTTGCAAACTCCAAGTGGGCTGTCATGTGCCTTTTACTAAGGAGTGGCTTCCGTCTGGCCACTCTACCATTAAGGCCTGATTGGTGGAGTGCTGCAGAGATGGTTGTCCTTCTGGAAGGTTCTCCCATCTCCACAGAGGAACTCTGGCGCTCTGTCAGTGACCATCGGGCTCTTGGTCAACTCCCTGACCAACGCTCTTCTCCCCCGATTGCTCAGTTTGGCCGGGCGGCCAGCTCTTGGAAGAGCCTTGGTGGTTCCAAACTTCTTCCATTTAAGAATGATGGAGGCCTCCGTGTTCTTGGGGACCTTCAATGCTGCAGACATTTTTTGGTACCCTTCCCCAGATCTGTGCCTCGACACAATCCTGTCTCGGAGCTCTACGGACCAATTCCTTCGACCTCATGGCTTGGTTTTTGCTCTGACATGCACTGTCAACTGTGGGACCTTATATAGACAGGTGTATACCTTTCCAAATCATGTCCAATCAATTGAATTTACCACAGGTGGACTCCAATGAAGTTGTAGAAACATCTCAAGGATGATCAATGGAAACAGGATGCACCTGAGCTCAATTTCGAGTCTCATAGCAAAGGGTCTGAATATCAAATCAAATTTGATTTGCCACATGCACCGAATACAACAGGTGTAGACCTTACAGTGAAATGCTTACTTACAAGCCCTTAACCAACAATGCAGTTTTAAGAAAAATTATTGTTAAGTAAAAAATAGATAAGTAAAAAATAACAAATAAATAAAGAGCATGGTGACGTCACTATTTTGTCCGAATGGGGATTTGAAACCCTTCAAACCAGTTTCATGTTTTCATTGTGAAATGCTAAAATACACTAAAATAAAACATGACATTCTGTATTGTTGCCTCATATTCATAATTTGTCTGTTTTGTGTGCTCATTCACCATCAAATGACTGACTGGGCTGTCTCAGTGGCTGTTCTCACTCACTCTCTAATGACTGACTGGGCTGTCTCAGTGGCTGTGCTCACTCACTATCTAATGACTGACTGGGCTGTCTCAGTGGCTGTGCTCACTCACTCTCTAATGACTGACTGGGCTGTCTCAGTGGCTGTGCTCACTCACTCTCTAATGACTGACTGGGCTGTCTCAGTGGCTGTGCTCACTCACTCTCTAATGACTGACTGGGCTGTCTCAGTGGCTGTGCTCACTCACTCTCTAATGACTGACTGGCCTGTCTCAGTGGCTGTGCTCACTCACTCTCTAATGACTGACTGGGCTGTCTCAGTGGCTGTGCTCACTCACTCTCTAATGACTGACTGGGCTGTCTGGCTGCAGAAAATCCATAGGTATTGTTGCTGTAAGAGATATTTAATCAACTTAAGCACTCCGCTTTGGTACATTATATATTCACATAAATGATTGTATAAACAAAAAGAAAATAGCCACTATTTTACCTCCTGTTACAGTATCTTCAGCAACTCAGCCCTCATCTCCGGTGTTGTCGGGAGGAAGTTGCTGGACAGGCATTTGTATATCTGGACCACAGCAGCCTGGTGCTTGCATGGAGCTCCTGTGTGCCCTACTGGACAAGTGCAGAGGTCCATCTCCATCTCAACAGTATAGGTCTGGCCTGGTGTGGTGCCCTTCACCCTGTACTGCTTCTCCCCCACCTGACAGACATTAGGAGAGAGAGGATAGGCAACTTATAATAGAAGATACAACAAATAATAAAAGACCATATGTCTTATATTTTTAAATATTACAAACCTGTATTCATCACAATTTTACCTGCTCGATGTCAGATTGCTTGACGTTGCTTTCCTGGGCCAGACAACTTGAGTGCTGGAACATTTCCCAGCGACCAAGGGCAACGTCAGTGACCCCTGCCTCATAGTAGGCCTCCAGGTGCGATGTCAGCAGTTAAATAAGGCAGGGTGATTGAACGCGTTCGTGTGCTGAAGGATTTTATCCTTAAGGACCCGCATTGCTGCCTCCACAAAGTGTTTTGTGTCGTTCCCTCAGTTTGGCAGCTCCTCCCGATAGCTGAGTGGCCAACACTCTCAACGACTGAACAGTCGATCGAAGTAGACCGTGAATTTCTTGTACCTGTAATTAGGGTAAAATATGTACTTGAACAATGTCTTGTACTATCACATATTGGTTACAAAATGTATCCCAAATAACAACATATCCCAAATTTTAATTAGAAAAGACTCAAACGGATCAGCATGTCCTGGTTTTATCATAAAGTTACTGAGAATAAAGCATAAGTTAATATATTGCACCTCATTATACTGTCATACTACACTAACCTGGCTACAACTGGGTTTCGTTTTGCCTGTTGATAGAGGGGCTCAACCATCTCTTCACTGTCATAAATTATGTATTTGATGACAGTGAAGAGGGTCTGCCTGTCTCAGGTGTACTCCACTCTCCTTGCTCCACAGCCACCTCCACACTGCCTGGAGTAGGTGGAAGGTGCAGAGGAGCAGTTTGGCCCCTGGAAATGCCGTACCTAATGCTCCCCTCTCTGCCTTGCAGTCATCTGTAATGATGAGGCGAAGACCAGCCTGAACTCTCCCTGCAAAGGCGTCCTCCCTCAGCATGTCCTTCAACAGTTGAAATCTGTGCAAAAGGTAGTAGGACAAAGATGTGTCCCCAGTTCCCTACACCTGTTCACTACTAATACTTTCAAACGAAAAGGAGAGCCGCACACTCTAGGAGCTCACATGCAATAATTGAATAACCTAATATACCCTGATGAAGACAGCTTGTCTGTCGAAACGTTTGTTATTAGGTTATTCAATGATTGCATCTGAGCTCCTAGAGTGTGCTGCTCTCCTTTTCTTTTTTAGGGTTCTACTCCGTTAGCCAGCACCTCGCCTAAATAGGTATGAGTTTCTTTCGCCTCCACACTACTAATACTGTCCTGAATTCAAAAAAATATCACCCAGTTTCCTAGGCACCTATCTTAAAAATGTTTTAATTTACCGGTAACAGATCTGGAGGTCTGGACAGAGGGATCTGTTTGCCGAGATGAAGATGTAGTCCTCTCCGTACTCCATCTGCAGGTCGTTCTTCAGGACCGTCAGGGCAGATGAGGGGGAGTGCCCGATTTCAAAGAGCTGGGTCAGTGTCTCTATGTCTTTGGGCCCCACATCCCTGTGCCTGAGGGCGTCTGCCACAAACATGTTGTGGTTATGTACATTGTAGTTGCACACAATGGACGCATATTATGGAAGATGAGGGTCTTTGCTCCTGGGACCAACCACACACAGAATTATGTCAAATTGAGTCAGAGAACAAAGAGGGGATAACTGGATTAACAAACAGGTTTATTAGACATGAATCGCTGACCCACCTGCTCAATCTTCCGGTCTTGTCGGCACATGTCAGCAGAGTACAGGTAGTCTTTGCCTCGCATCAGGATTCTTGGACAGTCTTCTGTCATTGGCTGTTTGGAATCTGACGGCCACATTGTGTTGACACCTATAATGAGCCTGAACAAAATATATGGAGTTTATTCTTCTAATTTCTACAAAACAGCTAAACTATTTACTGGGATAAGGTAGGAGACCATAAATAACAAGACTAAACAAACAAGAAGTGTGTGTGTGTGTGTGTGAGAGAGACCGTGTGTGACATGACACTGTTGCTGATTTGGCCTCAACTTTTGTGACAGCGACCCTCCAAGTGATTCCTGACTCGTGTGTCTTCTGTAGCCACTCTTTAAACCGTCTTACTCCTTCAATGGCCATTCAAAAGAATGTCTCAAAAGAACAGTGGTCCATTTGTGTGGGCCTCTCCTCGTAGGAACCGACATGGTACTTTTAAAAAACATTTATGTCATTTAGCAGACGCGCTTATCCAGAGTAACTTAAGGGCACAAATAGATATTTCACCCAGTCGGCTCGGGGATTCGAACCAGTGATCTTTCGGTTATTTAGCCAACGCTCTTAACCACTAGGCTACCTACCTATTAGTAACGTTCATTTAAAAATTAAATTAAAATATTTTGAGATCTGTCCGCGGACCCTCCGCTGACCCGGACCCACCTTTGAGAACCCCTGGACTAAACATAATGTCACAGAATTCATCGCATAAAACAACGTTTGAATATTTATTGTATAATAGAAAAGTTGGTACATCATGCATTCGTTTAGGCGTGAACTATACTGTAAAAAGAAAGCGAGACGCTGCCAACAGGACCTTTTATTTTGATGAAACGACTTTCTCCATCGGTACACTTACCGTGCCGTACAGGAAGTAGCTACTGTCGTCATCTCCGTTTAGCGGCTATGTTTTACGAGGTCTCTTTCTGAAGGTTTGTCATATTTCTTAGTGATTGTGAAATAAAAACGTATATTAATTAATAGTACCTTATATATGATTGCATGTGGAATACATTTAAAACTGATTTGAGGAAATAAACCGTATAACTAGCTAACTAGCCATTGCACTCACAGTTGCTAATCTGTTAGCATTCTTTACAGTCAGTATTAGCCTGTTAGCTAGCTAGATTCTTGCAAACGTTATACTAGGTAGTAAAATATAGCTAAGACGCAACTGCCGCTATTTAGGAAGCTAAAGTACATACGCATGCCAAGTTTTTGATGGCCACTTCGCAAGTTTAGGCGCACATAATTCACACATCAAAAACTGGATAGCTAGCAAGTTATCTAGCGGGACATTCTGGCCTTCATTGAATTGGCATTTACAAATCTAAATTTATTCGCCAACTTGAGCAATTGTAAGAAATCAACATCAATTATTTGTAGTTAGATACCAGGTAGTAGTTAGCTTCAGTAACGTTAGCAAAATTTAACTTCACAAGTTGGTGACACAGTGACAAAACCCTAGTGTTGTTAAGGGGAGATTATCAGTCTTGTCATCAAAGCTAAATGTCTCTCTTTCGCCATTCATAGAGTACATAGTCAGCTGACGAATTATGTTGTTCAAACGAAATGTACAATTTTCATCGGCCTTCTGGCCTAAAACAGCTGTCACACTTTTGTTGCAGAAGCAGCAATGATGTCTGGCACCGGGGGAGGGAAGCGAGCCTCAGGTGGGGACAGCCCCCCTGGTCCACCTGAGAAGAAGATTAAAAAAGAGGAGAAGACCACCACCACTCTCATTGAGCCTATACGCATTGGGGGAGTTTCCTCTACGGTTTGTCACTCTATTTTTGTCCTCCACAACTAGGTCTTGGCCTCCACATCTTGGTCTTGTCTATAATGAAGTTCGTTATCCCTCCTATATTGTTATCTTCTTCATTATCGTGTATTTGACATCGGCAGGAGGAAATGGACATGAAAGTGATCCAGTTTAAGAATAAGAAGCTGAGTGAGCGTCTGGAGCAGAGGCAGACCATGGAGGACGAGCTGCGAGAGAAGATCGAGAAGCTGGAAAAGCGACAAGCCACTGACGATACCACACTGCTCATTGTGAATCGTTACTGGTCCCAGGTATGTACATTCCACAATCGTTTGCTGCCATGAAGGATCATAGACATATACTTAACCTAAAATGTAACCCCACACATACTCAATTACTCTCTTTATTTAACTTCCAGTTGGAAGAAAATGTTCACGTCCTGCGCCTACGCATTGACCCCACGGTGGTCCCAGCACCACCTGCTACGCCTGCCCCTACCCCAATAGAAGAGGATGGTATGATGATCCCACCGCCCCCTCCTCCAGCACCAGAAAACGAGGAGCAACAGCCTCCCCCACCTGATGTTATGGAGAAAGCTCCTGAACCACAGCAGGACTCAGGAACAGGTAAAGATGCTCTCTCTCAACCTTTATCTATGCATATCTAGCCTCTGATTCGCAGTAATGATACCTCCAAGTCCATTGCGTTGCCACCTGTAATAACTGGTGTGAGGTATGGAAACATAACAAAGCAGTAAACCTTTCTAGCACTTACGCCACATGTTTATATTGTCAACCACATCCTAAATCCTCCCATCCTAACTGTTTACCTATCACCATGGTGTGTAGCACCGCCACCCTCTACTTCCCTTAGTGAGAGTGCCAAGGCCTTCCTCTCCATTCTGGACAACAGCAGTGAGGAGGAGCTCAGCCTTCAGCTGCAGGACAGGATGCAGTTTAGCAAAGAGGCTGCTGCTTGCATGGTCTGCGTCTTCGACAGGCTGCACAGCCGCATCGATGGCTTATGCACCCAGATCCAGTCCGCAGGTAACTATTCAGACTCACTAATCATGACCAGGGACAAGAGTTTTTGACTTTGTTGTTGTAGAAGCATGCGGGTTCTAAATGTGGCATAATCAATCATGTAGAGGAGTTCCCTACTATGACATTTACTCTGGTCTTGTGTTAAATTCCTGTAAGTCACATTAGATCATAGCATCTGCTACATGGCATATACACTACCGGTCAAAAGTTTTAGAACACATTTACATTACATTTAAGTCATTTAGCAGACGCTCTTATCCAGAGCGACTTACAAATTGGTGCATTCACCCTATAGCCAGTGGGTTAACCACTTTTAAAAAATTGGGGGGCGGGGGGGGTAGAAGGATTACTTCATCCTATCCCAGGTATTCCTTAAAGAGGTGGGGTTTCAAATGTCTCCGGAAGGTGGTGAGTGACTCCGCTGTCCTGGCGTCGTGAGGGAGATTGTTCCACCATTGGGGTGCCAGAGCAGCGAACAGTTTTGACTGGGCTGAGCGGGAACTATGCTTCCGCAGAGGAAGGGGAGCCAGCAGGCCAGAGGTGGATGAACGCAATGCCCTCGTTTGGGTGTAGGGACTGATCAGAGCCTGAAGGTACGGAGGTGCCGTTCCCCTCACTGCTCCATAGGCAAGCACCATGGTCTTGTAACGGATGCGAGCTTCAACTGGAAGCCAGTGGAGTGTGCGGAGGAGGGGGGTGACGTGAGAGAACTTGGGAAGGTTGAACACCAGACGGGCTGCGGCATTCTGGATGAGTTGTAGGGGTTTAATGGCACAGGCAGGGAGCCCAGCCAACAGCGAGTTGCAGTAATCCAGACGGGAGATGACAAGTGCCTGGATTAGGACCTGTGCCGCTTCCTGTGTAAGGCAGGACTCTCCGAATGTTGTAGAGCATGAACCTGCAGGATCGGGTCACCGCCTTGATGTTAGCGGAGAACGACAGGGTGTTGTCCAGGGTCACGCCAAGGCTCTTCGCACTCTGGGAGGAGGACACAACGGAGTTGTCAACCGTGATGGCGAGATCATGGAACGGGCAGTCCTTCCCCGGGAGGAAGAGCAGCTCCGTCTTGCCAGGGTTCAGCTTGAGGTGGTGATCCGTCATCCATACTGATATGTCGGCCAGACATGCAGAGATGCGATTCGCCACCTGGTTATCAGAAGGGGGAAAGGAGAAGATTAGTTGTGTATCGTCAGCGTAGCAATGATAGGAGAGGCCATGTGAGGATATGACAGAGCCAAGTGACTTGGTGTATAGGGAGAAAAGGAGAGGGCCTAGAACTGAGCCCTGGGGGACACCAGTGGTGAGAGCACGTGGTGCGGAGACAGCTTCTCGCCACGCCACTTGGTAGGAGCGACCGGTCAGGTAGGACGCAATCCAGGAGTGAGCCGCGCCGGAGATGCCCAGCTCGGAGAGGGTGGAGAGGAGGATCTGATGGTTCACAGTATCGAAGGCAGCAGACAGGTCTAGAAGGACAAGAGCAGAGGAGAGAGAGTTAGCTTTAGCAGTGCGGAGAGCCTCCGTGACACAGAGAAGAGCAGTCTCAGTTGAATGACCAGTCCTGAAACCTGACTGGTTTGGATCAAGAAGGTCATTCTGAGAGAGATAGCAAGAGAGTTGGCTAAAGACGGCACGCTCAATAGTTTTGGAAAGAAAAGAAAGAAGGGATACTGGTCTGTAGTTGTTGACATCCGTGGGATCGAGTGTTGGTTTTTTGAGAAGGGGTGCAACTCTCGCTCTCTTGAAGACGGAAGGGACATGGCCAGCGGTCAAGGATGAGTTGATCAGCGAGGTGAGGTAGGGGAGAAGGTCACCGGAGATGGTCTGGAGAAGAGAGGAGGGGATGGGTTTAAGCGGGCAGTTTGTTGGGCGGCCTGCAGTCACTAGTCGCAAGATTTTATCTGGAGAGAGAGGGGAGAAAGAAGTTAAAGCATAGGGTAGGGCAGTGTGAGCAGGACCAGCAGTGTCATTAGACTTAACAAATGAGGATCGAATGTCGTCAACCTTCTTTTCAAAGTGGTTGACGAAGTCATCCACAGAGAGGGAGGGGGAGGGGGGGATTCAGCAGTGAGGAGAATGTGGCAAAGAGCTTCCTAGGGTTAGAGGCAGATGCTTGGAATTTAGAGTGGTAGAAAGTGGCCTTAGCAGCAGAAACAGATGAAGAAAATGTAGAGAGGAGGGAGTGAAAAGATGCCAGGTCGGCAGGGAGTTTAGTTTTCTTCCATTTCCGCTCCGCTGCCCGGAGCTCTGTTCTGTGAGCTCGCAATGAGTCATCAAGCCACGGAGCTAGAGGGGAGGACCGAGCCGGCCGGGAGGATAGGGGACACAGGGAGTCAAAGGATGCAGAAAGGGAGGAGAGGAGGGTTGAGGAGGCAGAATCAGGAGATTGGAGGGAGAAGGATTGAGCAGAGGGAAGAGATGATAGGATGGAAGAGGAGAGAGTAGTGGGAGAGAGAGAGCGAAGGTTGCGGCGGCGCGTTACCATCTGTGTAGGGGCAGAGTGAGTAGTGTTGGAGGAGAGCGAGAGAGAAAAGGATACAAAGTAGTGGTCGGAGACGTGGAGGGGAGTTGCAGTGAGATTAGTAGAAGAGCAACATCTAGTAAAGATGAAGTCAAGCGTATAGCGCCTTGTGAGTAGGGGGGGATGGTGAGAGGGTGAGGTCAAAAGAGGAGAGGAGTGGAAAGAAGGAGGCAGAGAGAAATGAGTCAAATGTAGACGTAGGGAGGTTGAAATCCCCCAAAACTGTGAAGGGTGAGCCATCCTCAGGAAAGGAACTTATCAAGGCGTCAAGCTCATTGATGAACTCTCCAAGGGAACCTGGAGGGCGATAGATGACAAGGATATTAAGCTTAAATGGGCTAGTGACTGTGACAGCGTGGAATTCAAATGAGGAGATAGACAGATGGGTTAGGGGAAAAATTGAGAATGACCACTTGGGAGAGATGAGGATTCCTGTGCCACCACCCCTCTGACCAGATGCTCTCGGGGTATGCGAGAACACATGGTCAGACGAGGAGAGAGCAGTAGGAGTAGCAGTGTTTTCACTGGTAATCCATGTTTCCGTCAGCGCCAGGAAGTCGAGGGACTGGAGGGTAGCATAGGCTGGGATGAAGTCAGCCTTGTTGGCGGCAGAACGGCAGTTCCAGAGGCTGCCTGAGACCTGGAACTCCAGGTGTGTGGTGCGTGCAGGGACCACCAGGTTAGAGAGGCAGCAGCCACGCGGTGTGAGGCGTTTGTGTAGCCTGTGCGGAGAGGAGAGAACAGGGATAGGCAGAGGCATAGTTGACAGGCTGCAGCAGATGGCTACAATAATGCAGAGGAGATCGGAATGAAATGAACTAAACATCTGGGAAAGGAGAGAGCAGGCCTCCCTCACCAAAAAAAATATAACTCTCCCAACTTCCACCTCAGAAACTATCATTGTTTCACTGAACCACCCGAATAAAACTCTCCCAACTTCCACTTTAGAAATTAGAATTGTTGTAAACTACAGCAGACTGTTATCAGTAGCTGTAATTAAGTACAGCAGCTACCAACCACCTAACGTTAATGCCTCGGATAATGAGGTTAGAAAAACAGCTGAATGGTGGCAGCTAGCTGGCTCAATCACAGGTACTCTTAAGCATGAAATAACATTGGAAACAACTAACCACAGTTGCTAAAAGTTACCAGTAGCTACCCGCTAGCTAGCTAGCTAACTTTGTTGGTCTAAGTAGTGGGTAAGCTAGCCTCGTGCTTCGCCGGGGTCCGCCGAATACAATACTTACCTACAATAATTACCTACAATAACTACCTGAGTAAACTACCTATAATCCCTAACTACAATACCTACCTACAATCTAAATACATGGTTTAAGCTTTACTCAACACCATATAAGAAGCCAAGCTTACCTTTCATAACGCAGCAATGATTAAACGTTGGGTAGCTAGCACAAAGATATTGTATTTAGCTACTACAGTACAGCCAGCTGGTAGTGTTGGCTAGCTAGCAATGGCTGCTGTGTTGACTTTGTTTGAAAAACGGCGTCGCTGCGAACGAATGTAGCTGGCTAACACCTACTCATTCAAGGATTTTTCTTTATTTCTACTATTTTCTACATTGTAGAATAATAGTGAATACATCAAAACTATGAAATAACACATGGAGTCATGTAGTAACCAAAAAAGTGTTAAACAAATCAAAATATTTTATTTTTGAGATTCTTCAAATAGCCACCCTTTGCCTTGATGACAGCTTTGCACACTCTTGGAATGATCTCAACCAGCTTCATGAGGTACTCACCTGGAATGCATTTCAATTAACAGGTGTGCCTTCTTAAAAGTTAATTTGTGGAATTTCTTTCCTCCTTAATGTGTTTGAGCCAATCCGCTATGTTGTGACAAGGTATACAGAAGATAGCCCTATTTGGTAAAAAACCAGGTCCATATTATGGCAAGAACAGCTCAAATAAGCAAAGAGAAACGACAGTCCATCATTACTTTAAGAAATGAAGGTCAGTCAACATGGAACATTTCAAGAACTTTGAACGTTTCTTAAAGTGTTGTCGCAAAAACCATCGAGCGCTATGATGAAACTGGCTCTCATGAGGACCGCCACAGAAATGGAAGACCCAGAGTTACCTCTGCTGCATAGGATAAGTTAATTAGAGTTACCAGCCTCAGAAATTGCAGCCCAAATAAATGCTTCACAGAGTTCAAGTAACAGACACATCTCAACATCAACTGTTCAGAGGAGACTGTGTGAATCAGGCCTTCATGGTAGAATTGCTGCAAAGAAACCACTACTAAAGGACACCAATAAGAAGAAGACTTGCTTGGGCCAAGAAACACGAGCAATGGACATTAGACCGATGGAAATGTGTCCTTTGGTCTGGAGTCCAAATTTGAGATTTTTGGTTCTAACCGCCGTGTCTTTGTGAGACGTGATGTGGTTGATGATCTCCGCTTGTGTATTTCCCACCGTGAAGCACAGAGGAGGAGGTGTTATGGTGTGGGGGTGCTTTGCTGGTGACACTGTCTGTGATTTATTTAGAATTCAAGGCACACTTAACCAGCATGGCTACCACAGCATTCTGCAGCGATACGCCATCCCATCTGGTTTGGGCTTAGTGGGACTATCATTTGTTTTTCAACAGAACAATGACTCAACACACCTCCAGGCTGTGTGAGGCCTATTTTACCAAGAAAGAGAGTGATGGAGTGCTGCATCAGATGACCTGGCCTCCACAATCCCCCGACCTCAACCAAATTGAGATGGTTTGGGTTGAGTCGGACCGCAGAGTGAAGGAAAAACAGCCAACAAGTGCTCAGCATATGTGGGAACTCCTTCAAGACTACTGGAAAAGGATTCCAGGTGATGATGGTTGAGAGAATGCCAAGAGTGTGCAAAGCTGTCATCAAGGCAAAGGGTGGCTATTTGAAGAATCTCAAATAAATATATTTTGATTTGTTTAACACTTATTGAGTTACTACATGATTCCATATGTGTTATTTCATAGTTTTGATATCTTCAGTATTATTCTACAATGTAGAAAATTGTAAAAAAATAAACAAAAACCCTTGAATGAGTAGGTGTTCTAGAACTTTTGACCAGTAGTGTATTATCACTAGTTGAGTAACCCTAGTAACAGTGTTGTCTTTGTCAGTGTGTGAGGACGACAGCCAGGAAGAGCTGCTCCGTCTGAATCGTACTCTGCTGGAGGAGAATAGCAGACTGCAAGACCTGGCTTCCTCCCTGCAGAGCAGACACCACAAGATGTCTATGGAGGTACTTTGCCTCACCCTGTAATGTATAGTGTGTGTGGGGATTGGGAATGCCCACATCTCCATGGTGTCTTCTCTCAGGCTTTTGTATCCTCTTCAATATGAATGTCTGCCATTTCTCATCGGTGGTAATACATGGCGATTGTGTAAACTCATCCAGACAATTCCATAATCAAATGTGCTCTCATCTGTACTTCTCTTAATCAGTACAATGAGCTTGTGGATAAGGTGACGAGCTCAGAGACCAAGGTGTCTGAGATGGAGACTGCTGTGGAGGATCTGCAGTGGGACATCGAGAAGCTCCGTAAGAGGGAACAGAAGCTCAACAAGCATCTAGCTGAGGCACTGGAACAGGTTTGTTTTAATCTGTGGCCGTGTATAGTCCTGTATCTCATCATCGCTGATGTCACTCTCAATTATCCATCGATGGCCAGCGATAAGGCTGAAGCACCAGAGCATGCCAGCCATTGAATCGCAGCTGTGTGTGTTGTGTGTTTCTCTATGTCCAGCTGTATGTACATGAGTAAAATAATGTTTTGTTTTCAAGACTGTAACCACATCTATATAACTATTGTAGTATTTCTGGGTTAGTGTCTGTACTAATATATGGGCCAAGTTCGCTAAACACCTCCTTTATGATTGTTCTGTCCAGTTGAACTCGGGCTACTACACCACTGGCAGCTCAGGGGGGCTACCCGGAGGCCAGATCACTCTCAATATACAGAAGGTGAGTGCAGACTTGTCACTCTATTGTCCAACCATATTCTTGAGCTTCCCTTCCATCTTGTTTTGATACATTGTTGTATTCCAACCCTGTCATATGGAGTTAAATTGGTGCCAAAAGTGATGATAATTTAACTTCATACATTATAATGTCCATTAGTTTGAGAGCCTGAATGCAGAGTTGGAGCAGAACCAGGAGCTGGCCAACAACCGCATGGCGGAACTGGAGAAACTCCAGCAGGAGCTCCAGGAGGCTGTGAGGGAGAGTGAGAAGCTTAAGGTACAGCAGCAGTCCTCTCTGAGGGAATACAAGACTAAACTCACAACAATACTCTGTGCATTCTATTATCTGTCTGCTTAACAACGGATATGCTCACTGTTTAGACAGTCATGATGAGTCAGATGTCATGTCAAGGCAGGCAATAATTGTATAATGTATAAACACAATAACTTGTGTTTGTCATATTATGATCATTGAATCTATACTCCGTATGTAATATCATGTCGTGTATTTACTTTTCTGTTTGCTCTAGCCCAAATGAATTGCATTCATATCGTTTTTCACCAAGACATCTTCCAGTGTATGGGGGGTTAACTCACTCACCCACTTAACTCCCTTTCAGTTGGACCTGAAAAATATTCCAGAGGAAGTGGTGAAGGAGACCGCGGACTACAAGTGCCTGCAGTCCCAGTTCTCACTGCTCTACAACGAGTCTCTGGGGGTGAAGACCCAGCTGGACGAGGCCCGTGCCCTGCTCCTCACCGCCAAGAACGCCCACCTCAGACAGATAGAGCATATGGAGGTCAGAAGCACTGATTTAGCAGATAGGTTTTACTTGCAGTCATTGTGATCATGGTTGTTTTACCTCCCTTTGGTTGTCGCTTTGGATAAGAGAATCTGACAAATAACTTAAGTGTAGGAGGGAGCTTGATTGAGCCTGTCTGGGGTATCAGATGGATGGGATTTGAACTTTTAGGACTATTCCATTGGTTCCATTGTGTCAGGCAAGCTCAATCAAGCGCAGCTAATGTATTTGAAAGACCTAATATTACTTGAACCCGGGTCTGGCACGTATATCATGAATACAATAGGAATATGTGGTTAGAAAGGTAATGCTATGGCGACAGTGCCTTGTGTTTGGGCAAAACATTACCAATTTGGCGTAAGCAGAAACAGACAGGCTCTTTAGACGCTTGGAAAGTGGATTACGTCACAATCGGTAAAGAATGGCCAACATTAGTAGTCAGGATATCAGATTGGTGTGATCTCGCTGTTTGACTGCCGTCAACAGAAGTTGGTGTTGTAATCTTTTCAGAGTGACGAGCTGTCACTACAGAAGAAGCTCCGCACAGAGGTCATCCAGCTGGAAGACACGCTGGCCCAGGTGCGCAAGGAGTACGAGATGCTGCGCATCGAGTTTGAGCAGAACCTGGCGGCCAACGAGCAAGCAGGTAACGTCTCATCTCCACAACACCTCCCACTCCCTAGGCTTGTTTCTATCACTAAAGCAAATGTTTCTCAGTGTGACTTTTGAATGGACGATTGTCAGTGATGTCAATCTTATGTGCTTAGTAATATATGCATGTCTTTATTTGTTCATTTTAAAATGTTCTGTAACCAAGGATGTTGACTGTGTGTTTGGGAGGAATGTATCCTATCCTGTTATCACTATCCATATTGCTCTCAAGTTTGGCGAGACTTCACAAGTTTAGCGCACGCAGACAATAGTCAGGGAAAACCATGCGACGGCTCTGACTGAAACCACATGGTCATTATCTTATCGACACCTCTGTCCCTTTGACCTTTCCCTTAGGCCCAATCAACAGAGAGATGCGCCACCTCATCAGCAGCCTCCAGAACCACAACCACCAGCTGAAAGGTGACGTGCAGCGCTACAAGCGGAAGCTCAGAGAAACACAGATGGAGATTAACAAGGTAGGCAGCCGATCCTGCACGTGAGACCAATAGACTTTCTTCTCTACGAATATTTAATCAATATGCATAGCTCATAGATAGAGCCAGGAGTTTTTTCTGACCATATGACCTGACCAGGTCAGGATAAACTCTGGACCCTTATTATAGGTTAACTACAGCCTGGAGTTTGCCCTGGTGAGGTGGTTAGGTCACATGGTTCAACAAAACCTGAGATGCACAATATCTGGTTAATAGATAAGGATAAACGTGACACTTGAATCACGATATTTGGTACGAAAATGTGATAAACGCGATTGATGTCCCAAAACCATTTTCTATCCCTGTCCCTTTGTCAGTTGCGGTGCCAGAGTGGTGACACTGGGCTTCTGTCGTTGGAGGAGCCGGTGAGCGACAGCCTGGAGGTGAAGAAAGAAGAGGAGGAAGACCAAGAGGAGGAGGAGGAGAGGAGGAGGGAGCTGGAGAGACAGCGGGCCCGGGAGAGAGAGAGGGAGGTCGAGAGGGAACGGGAGAGGGAACGAGAAAGGGAGCGACAGCGCAGCGAGGAGTTGAAGAGGAAAGATTCGGACACTCTGAAGATGCTGAGGGCGGAACTTAAGTATGTTTAGTTTTTGGTCACAGAACACACAACTCGTATTTTATATAGAATAAAGGGTACTGTCATATAGTAGAGTAGATGACTCATTGTCTTACTCTGGAGTTAGATAGTGCTAACTCTTCTGTTTATTCTCCTTTCCCCTCAGGAAAGCCCAGGAGTCTCAGAAGGAGATGAAGCTACTTTTGGACATGTACAAATCAGCTCCCAAAGAGCAGCGAGACAAAGTGCAGCTTATGGCAGCAGAGCGCAAGTCTAAAGCCGAGGTTTGTCCAGCTATGCTCTGACTTCTTTCTTCAAATTCCAACCTGTACTGTAGGTTATCAATGAAAATCAATTCATGAGGTACTTAAATTGTTATCTGAATCTACCCCCACTACAAACTGAAGTAGTGCCTATGAGTCTCAGTCCGTGTGTTATACCTAAATCCCCCCCTCTGTGTCCCAGGTGGATGAGTTGCGGGTGCGGGTTCGAGAGCTGGAGGAGAGGGAGAGGAAGGAGAGCAAGAAGCTGGCTGATGAAGACGCTCTCAGGAAGATCCGCGTGGCAGAGGAGACGATCGACCACCTACAGAAGAAGCTCACTGCCACCAAACAGGTACTGTATATCCACTACACATTCAAACCGTTTGCAGAGGTGCTGAATATGTTAAATATCACAATTGCAGTGGGTTTGCCTTGGCTTTGCCATTTCTTTGTTTCATTTGACCAGGGATTTCAATGGAATAAGTGAGGTATCGCAATTTTATTTATATTTATTTATTTATTTCACCTTTATTTAACCAGGTAAGCCAGTTGAGAACAAGTTATCATTTACAACTGCGACCTGGCCAAGATAAAGCAAAGCAGTGCGATTTAAAAACAACAACACAGAGTTACATATGGGGTAAAACAAAACAAGTCAAAAATACCACAGAAAATATATATATATACAGTGTGTGCAAATGTAGTAAGTTATGGAGGTAAGGCAATAAATAGGCCATAGTGCAAAATAATTACAATTAGTATTAACACCCGGGACCACCCATACACAAAAATGTATGCACGCATGACTGTAAGTCGCTTTGGATAAAAGCGTCTGCTAAATGGCATATTATTTATTTATTTATTATTTAACACTGGAATGATAGATAGAAAATAAATAACAATATAGGGATGAGGTAGTTGAGTGGGCCTAATTACAGATGGGCTGAGTACAGGTGCAGTGATCGGTAAGGTGCTCTGACAACTGATGCTTAAAGTGAGGGAGATGAGAGTCTCCAGCTTCAGAGATTTTTGCAGTTTGTTCCAGTCATTGGCAGCAGAGAACTGGAAGGAATGGCGGCCAAAGGAGGTGTTGGCTTTGGGGATGACCAGTGAGAAATACCTGCTGGAGCGCATACTACGGGTGGGTGTTGCTATGGTGACCAATGAGCTAAGATAAGGGAGGGGTTCAAATTGTTAGGGTTATGTTTCAGTGGCCTCCCGAGTGGCGCAACGGTCTAAGGCACTGCATCGGAGTGCTAGAGGTGTCACTACAGATCCGGGTTCGATCCCGAGCTGTGTCGCAGCCGGCCGTTACCGGGAAACCCATTTGGCCCAGCGTCGTCCGTGTTAGGGGAGAGTTTGGCCGGCTGGGATGTCCTTGTCCCATCGCGCTCTAGTGACTCCTTGTGGTGGCCGGGCCGCATGCACGCTGACTTGGGTGGCCAGCTGTACAGTGTTTCCTCCGACACATTGGTGCGGCTGGCTTCCGGGTTAAGCGAGCAGTGTGTCTCTCGACCTTCGCCTCTCCCGAGTCCGTACGGGAGTTGCAGCGATGGGACAAGACTGTAACTACCAATTGGATATGATGAAATTGGGGAGAAAAAGGGGTAAAAAAGTACCAACAATAAATACTCATCAGTTACTGAGTATACCAAACATTAAGGACACCTTCCTAATATTGAGTTGCATCTGTGCCCAGTGTGATTAGCCTACCTTTTAAAAACTAATATGATAGGCATATCAAGGCTATAGTTTTTTCATGTTGATCATCTAGGTAAGCGCATTTGCGCTTCCATTAGGCTACTTTCAGACTGTAAGTGACGGGATTTCACTATAGTATAGGCTGCCTTATGCTAAATCAGAAAAAAACTGTGGCTGATTTGGTGGGAAAGAAAAGCACGTCTTCGCCTGTTTGGCAGTTCTTCGGTTTTAGGCCGAATGATAAAGGTGAGCCAGCAGACCTGAATATGCAAAAAGATTATTAGGGCAAAGTATGGTCAGACTACAAACCTCCGTCAACATTTCCAAGTCCATCGTCCTGCTGAGTTCGATACTCTGGGGCAGAAAAGGTGAACATGCTGGTGTTCCTTGCCAGTAACCTTTAGGTCGTTTGCACTCTGGAGCAGGTTCTCATCAAGGATTTGCCTATATTTGGCTCCATTCATTGTATCCTCTATCCTTACCAGTCTCCCAGTCCCTGCCACAGAAAAGCATCCCCAAAGCATGATGCTGCCACCACCATGCTTCACTGTAAGGATGGTGTTAAATGGGTGATGAGCTGTACCTGGTTTTCCCCAGATATTGCATTTTGCGTTCAGGCCAAATAGTTACATTTTTGTCTCGTCAGACCACAGAATATTTTGCCTTATGATCTCAGTCTTACACATGCCTTTTTGCTAACTCCAGGCGTGCTGTCATGTGCCTTTTTCTCAGGAGTGGCTTACTCTCCCATAAAGCCCAGATTGGTGAAGTGCTGTAGAGACTTTTGTCCTTCTAGCAGGTTCTCCCATCTCAGCCAAGGAACTCTGTAGTTCTGTCAGAGTGATCATTGGGTTCTTGGTCACCTCCCTGACCAAGGTCCTTCTTGGCCAGTTGCTCAGTTTGGTCGGACGGCCAGCTCTAGGCAGAGTCTGGGTAGTTCCATATTTTTTCAATTTCCCAATGATGGAGACCACTGTGCTCTTGGAAACTTTCAACACTCTAGAAATTGTTTTATACCCTTTATATGCCTCATCACAATTCTATCTCGGATATCTAGGGACAGTTCCTTGGACTTCATAGGATAGTTTCTGCTCTGACATGAACTGTCAACTGTTGGACCTTATATAGACAGGTGTGTTTCTTTCTAAATCACGTCCAAATAATTGAATTGGCCACAGGTGGACTCCAATCAAGTTGTAGTGACATCTCAAGGATGATCAAAGGAAATTGGATGCACCTGAGATCAATTTGGAGTGTCATAGCAAAGCGGTGTAAATACTTACGTAAATGATAGATTTCTGTATTTAATTTTCAATACATCTGCAAAAGTTTCTACAAACATGTTTTCACTTTGTCATTATGGGGTATTCTGTGTAGATGGGTGAGAGAAAAAAATCTGTTTAATCCATTTTAAATTCAGGCTGTATCAACAAAATGTGGAATAAGTCAAGGGGTATGAATACTTTGAAGGCACTGTATATTTAGGATTTGTACCGTTCGATAGGCAAAAGGCATATCCTAATAGGTCTATTTGTTTTTAGCATAAGCCAAAAAATGTTTTTAGTTGATTGTGTATTTATGATTTTTACAGTTTGATGGCAAAAACCATGAGGATAATAGGCCTGTTTGTTTTTAGCTTAAGCCAATGTTCATTCAAGTGTTAGAAATGTTATAGGCTAAATAGTATATTTTTTTTTTATCTGAGTGTTGACTTTTATATACAGTGAGGGAAAAAAGTATTTGATCCCCTGCTGATTTTGTACGTTTGCCCACTGACAAAGACATGATCAGTCTAATTTTAATGGTAGGTTTATTTGAACAGTGAGACAGAATAACAACAAAAAATCCCCGGGACCACCCATACACAACAATGTATGCACACATGACTGTAAGTCGCTTTGGATAAAAGCGTCTGCTAAATGGCATATTATTATTATTATTATTATTAAATCCAGAAAAACGCATGTCAAAAATGTTATAAATTGATTTGCATTTTAATGAGGGAAATAAGTATTTGACCCCTCTGCAAAACATGACTTAGTACTTGGTGGCAAAACCCTTGTTGGCAATCACAGAGGTCAGACGTTTCTTGTATTTGGCCACCAGGTTTGCACACATCTCAGGAGGGATTTTGTTCCACTCCTCTTTGCAGATCTTCTCCAAGTCATTAAGGTTTCGAGGCTGATGTTTGGCAACTCGAACCTTCAGCTCCCTCCACAGATTTTCTATGGGATTAAGGTCTGGAGACTGGCTAGGCCACTCCAGGACCTTAATGTGCTTTTTCTTGAGCCACTCCTTTGTTGCCTTGGCCGTGTGTTTTGGGTCATTGTCATGCTGGAATACCCATCCACTACCCATTTTCAATACCCTGGCTGAGGGAAGGAGGTTCTCACCCAAGATTCGACGGTACATGGCCCCGTCCATTGTCCCTTTGATGCGGTGAAGTTGTCCTGTCCCCTTAGAAGAAAAACACCCCCAAAGCATAATGTTTCCACCTCCATGTTTGACAGTGTGGATGGTGTTCTTGGGGTCATAGGCAGTATTCCTTCTCCAAACACGGCGAGTTGAGTTGATGCCAAAGAGCTTGATTTTGGTCTCATCTGACCACAACACTTTCACCCAGTTCTCCTCTGAATCATTCAGATGTTCATTGGCAAACTTCAGACGGCCCTGTATATGTGCTTTCTTGAGCAGGGGGACCTTGCGGGCGCTGCAGGATTTCAGTCCTTCACGGCGTAGTGTGTTACCAATTGTTTTCTTGGTGACTATGGTCCCAGCTGCCTTGAGATCATTGACAAGATCCTCCCGTGTAGTTCTGGGCTGATTCCTCACCGTTCTCATGATCATTGCAACTCCACGAGGTGAGATCTTGCATGGAGCCCCAGGCCGAGGGAGATTGACAGTTCTTTTGTGTTTCTTCCATTTGCGAATAATCGCAAAAACTGTTGTCACCTTCTCACCAAGCTGCTTGGTGATGGTCTTGTAGCCCATTCCAGCCTTGTGTATGTCTACAATCTTGTCCCTGACATCCTTGGAGAGCTCTTTGGTCTTGGCCATGGTGGAGAGTTTGGAATCTGATTGATTTGATTGCTTCTGTGGACAGGTGTCTTTTATACAGGTAACAAGCTGAGATTAGGAGCACTCCCTTTAAGAGTGTGCTCCTAATCTCAGCTCGTTACCTGTATAAAAGACACCTGGGAGCCAGAAATCTTTCTGATTGAGAGGGGGTCAAATACTTATTTCCCTCATTAAAATGCAAATCAATTTATAACATTTTTGACATGCATTTTTCTGGATTTTGTTGTTGTTATTCTGTCTCTCACTGTTCAAATAAACCTACCATTAAAATTATAGACTGATCATTTCTTTGTCAGTGGGCAAACGTACAAAATCAGCAGGGGATCAAATACTTTTTTCCCTCACTGTAGGTTCATTTGATGGTTGATCATGAAAGAGTAGGCTATGTCTAGGCCAACAAGTCACATTCAAATCGAATGGGGATTGGGGAGAAAAGGGAAATTTTAAGATTTTAAAACAATAAGCCAGACAACGGATTGTCAGCTGCAAAAGGCCCATTATCATCCGACATTGGAAAGGGGGGAAAAAAACGTTAGACCCTATCTGACAATTTGCACTGCTTTGGTGCTCTCCGCTCTTTCTACAATCTACGTTGTTCTCTTGCATTATGTTAATAGTCTAACTACCATATATGTATTGAAATGTATTAAGCTATGGGGAATAGGCCAATTGGCATGTCACCCTGCTGTGCGCTCACTGCACTGCACCGTTGTGCACTGCCAGACTCCAGTCAAATTAAAATATGCTAAACCATCATTTGTGACATCACGATGTCGTCATCATCGACGATGGCTGTCAAACATCGTCGATAGAAGATACAATCGTAAAATGTTAATTACATTAGATGAAGTGTCATAGTGAAGTCCGTTGATACATATTACACTGAACAAAAATATAAATGCAACATGTAAAGTGTTGGTCCCATGTTTCATGAGCTGAAATAAAATATCCTAGAAATGTTCCATACACACAAAAAGCTGTTTCTCTGAAATGTTGTGCAGAAATTTGTTTACATCACTGTTAGTGAGCATTTCTCCTTTGCCAAGATAATCCATCCACCTGACAGGTGTGTCAAATCAAGATGCTGATTAAACAGCATGATCATTACATAGGTGCACCTTGTGCTGGGGACAATAAAAGGCAGTTATGTCACACAACACAATGCCACAGATGTCTCAAGTTGAGGGAGCGTGCAATTGACATGCTGACTGCAGGAATGTCCACCAGAGCTGTTGCCAGATAACTTAATGTTCATTTCTCTGCCATAAACCGCCTCCAACGTCGTTTTAGAGAATTTGGCAGTACGTCCAATCGGCCTCACAACTGCAGACCACGTGTAACCACGCCAGCCCAGGACCTCCACATCCGGCTTCTTCACCTGCGGGATCATCTGAGACCAGCCACCCGGACAGCTGATGAATCTGTGGGTTTGCACAACCAAATAATTTCTGCACAAATTGTCAGAAACCGCCTCAGGGAAGCTCATCTGCGTGCTCGGCATCCTTTGGGCTGACTGCAGTTCAGAGTCGTAACCGACTTCAGTGGGCAAATGCTCACCTTCGATGGCCACTGGCACGCTGCAGAAGTGTGCTCTTCACGGATGAATCCCGGTTTCAACTGTACCGGGCAGATGACAGTATGGCGTTGTGTGGGCGAATGGTTTGCTGATGTCAATGTTAAGAGTGCCCCATGATGGCGGTGGGGTTATGGTATGGGCAGGAATAAGCTACAGACAATGAACACTATGCTATTTTATTGATGGCAGTTTGAATGCACAGAGAAACCGTGACGAGATCCTGAGGCCCATTGTCGTGCCATTCATCCGCCGCCATCACCTCATGTTTCAGCATGATAATGCACGGCCCCATGTTGCAAAAATATGTACACAATTCCTGGAAGCTGAAAATGTCCCAGCTCTTCCACGGCCTGCATACTCACCAGACATGTCACCCATTGAGCATGTTTGGGATGCTCTCGATCGACGTGTACAACAGCGTGTTCCAGTTCCCGCCAATATCCAGCAACTTCGCACAGCCATTGACGAGGAGTGGGACAACATTCCACAGGCCACAATCAACAGCCTGATCAACCCTATGCGATTTGCATGAGGCAAATCGTGGTCACACCAGATATTGACTGGTTTTCTGATCCACGCCCCTACCTTTTCTTAAAGGTGTCTGTTACCTACAGATGCATATCTGTATTCCCAGTCATGTGTAATCCATAGATTAGGGCCTAATGAATTTATTTCAATTGACTGATTTCCTTATATGAACTGTAACTCAGTCAAATCTTTGAAGTGGTTGCATGTTGCGTTTTTGCTTTGTCATCATTGGGTATTGTGTGTAGATTGAAGGGGGAAAAAAACAATTTAACCTCTACCAGAGCATATGAGCGGAGTGGAGCGGTGAGAATCTCAGCTCCTCGCTCACGGAGCTGTTCACCCCTCCGCTCCCCCCGCTCAAAGCCACATCAGGCCAGTCCGCTCATTATCGCTCAGCGCTCAACGCAGTTTGCATCGCGCTCCACTCAAATCGCCCCCCGCTCACTCCAAAAAAGGAACAAAATCTGCATGTATTTCACTTTTAGCTTAAACCACAGCCTTACTTTATTTCCCCGAATTTGTTGCATACAGACTCATCTCGGATTATCCATTCTGTCTTGAAACGGGGATCTAACACTGACGCTAAAATGAGATGTTAATCAGTATAGTATATTCCATAGCGAATTGACACGTTTGCCAATGTTTCTGCAAAAGCAGCGATGCCCATTGGAAGTGCAGCGTGAGTGTAATCGGTGAGCAGGGATTTGATTTCTGTGACAGCAGGGAGGATCATCCCCAGGTTCCCCAGCTCGTTCTGCATTTTGTCTGTGAGGTCTGCTAGTGGTGTCAGCACACTGACAAGGTGCGTCAGCTGCCGTACTTGATTCAGGGTGATGTTAGCAACATTAGACTTGAGTTTGTTTTACCATAACGGGTCTTTTTGGAACAACCGGATGAACGACTGAATCATCCGCAGCTGGCTGCTCCATCGAATGGCGCAGGCATTTGTGGGGCGGACACCTAATTGGTCGGTTTCCTCTGTGCTCTTGCGTACACTTTTCACCAGGTGCCCGACTTTCACTAACAGCCTATTAATGTTGTCGTGCTTGTTAACGGCGTTTTTGATCGCCAGCTGAAGCATGTGAATGGGGCATCTCAGATGTACATTTGACAAAGTAAAGTACTGATTTATCATAGTTTCTTGGGGGAGTGTAGCCCGGTTGAGCTGCGCTGGCGAAGTGTTGCATCCCTTCGCGTTCTCCTTTACTCAGCGGTTCATAGTCCATGAAAATCATTTTAAAAAATGCTACATCCAGCTCTCTTTTTCTCTCCCTTGTTATGGTTGGGCCTTTGCGTGCAGTGAATAAACTTTTGAATTCCTCAACCCTTTTCTCTTGTTGCTGCTGCTCCTCTTGCTCTATAAAATACAAATTCATGGACGACACAAATTAAATTAAACAGATGGATTCTGGGTCAGGCTTGAGCATGCTTCAGACTCGTGGTGTGAGCGAGCGAAATTGGAGCGGGACATAGGGCGACGCTCCGTCCTTTTAAAAATGCCGCTCTGCGCTCTGTTCAAAATCCGTCCGCTCACGCTCCCGCTCCACTCCGCTCATATGCTCTGACCTCTACGGGATCGGTGTCCCGTATACGGGACAGTTGAGCAAACGTGCGCTAATGTGATTAGCATGACTGGTGTAAGTAACAGCAAACCTTTCAGGACATAGACATGTCTTATATGGGCAGAAAGCTTAAATTCTTGTTAATCTAACTGCACTGTCCAATTTACAGTAGCTATTACAGTGAAAAAATACCATGCTATTGAGAGAGCACAACAACAAAAAAATTATCACACGGCAACTGGTTTGATACATTCACCTCTGAAGGTAAATAATGTACTTATATTCAGTAATCTTGCTCTGATTTGTCATCTGAAGGGTACCAGTGATAAAATGTAGCATAGTTTTGTTTGATAAAATACATTTTTATATTCAAATGTAGGAACTGGGTTCTACAGTTTGAACCCCTGCTGTCTCTGGCTCCACACCCACCGTGCCCGGCCATCTAGATGTGTGAAAGTTGGTGTATAAGCTAATGATCCATCATGTATGACATTCCTGGGAGTGTGTAAACTTACATTTTGTATTACCATATCATTTTTGTATGTTCTTTATAGTTATGTACTTAAATGTATCATTTGACCAATTCGGCACATTTGGGCAGACTTGATACAAAATAGTCCAGTATTGCAATGCTTCACTGGATCAACCTGAATCTTTGCACACACTGCTTCCATCTAGTGGTCAAAATCTAAATTGTGCCTAAACTGCAATATGATATTGTGGCCTTTCTCTTGCATTTCAAAGATGATGGAACCAAAAAAATAATAGAAAGCGCATGTTTTTTTGTTTGTATTATCTTTTACCAGATCTAATGTGTTATATTCTCCTACATTAATTTCACATTTCCACAAACATCAGTGTTTCCTTTCAAATGGTATGAAGAATATGCACATCCTTGCTTCAGGTCCTGAGCTACAGGCAGTTAGATTTGGGTACGTCATTTTAGGCGAAAATTTGAGAGAGAGAAAAGGCTCCGACCCTTAAGAGGTTAATCCATTCTAGAATAAGGCTGTAACGAAATGTGGAAAAAGTCAAGGTGTCTGAAATATGTTCAGAATGCACTGTAAATAACACCGTGTGATCTAATTTGACCTAATGTGTTTATCTGGCATATTGTACCAAGTGTCTGTCTCTCTCTCTCTCAAGGAGATTTAACCTCAATGAAATTAAACTACATAACTAACAGTTAAATAAAAAAATGAAAACAACTCTATTCCAACCTCCTAACCCCCTGTACCTCTCCATTCTGTCCAGGAGGAAGAGGCCCTACTGAGTGAGATGGACGTGACGGGTCAGGCCTTTGAGGACATGCAGGAGCAGAACAGCCGGCTAATGCAGCAGCTGAGGGAGAAGGACGATGCCAACTTCAAGCTGATGTCGGAACGCATCAAGTCCAACCAGATCTACAAGCTGCTGAGGGAGGAGAAGGAGGAGCTGGCCGACCAGGTGCTCACCTTCAAGACCCAGGTGAGAGGGACTGTGGAGGATGGACTGTCGCATCGTGTTTGTGTTTATTTCCAGGGCAACTTGCAAAGCGGATTTAAAACGGGTGCACAACTCATTTGGCAAGGGAAACAGGGGAAACCATTTTTTTTTTTTACAAAGAAAACCTTTACAAAAAATAGCATATCTCGGGCCGCATTGAAAACACTGGCTATTGAAATAAAATAAAAATAAACATTTGATAGTAGTCTGGATAATGCTTGTGTTTCTGAGCCAATGAGGAAGAGGTCTGATTGGTTCCCCTTGCTGTCTGTCACAGGTGGAAGCACAGCTATTGGTTGTACAGAAGCTGGAGGAGAAGGAGGGCATCCTCCAGAGCACACTGGCCACTCTGGAGAAAGAGTTAGGAGTCCGCACACAAGCACTAGAACTCAACAAGAGGAAGGTAGGAAAACAATACCTCTACTACTACTAAGATAGTTTTAAACTCTCCTTCTTCCACAGTTACCTTACCAATACTACTGCTTTTACTATTTATACTGTAATGCCACGGTTACAAAGGACAAATACTAGCAATTGTATTGCTGGTCACTCTTCTTGTAACGTTCTGTTGGGAGTATCTCTGAGTGTCTCTTGCCCCTCCATGTCCCCAGGCGGTGGAGGCAGCCCAGCTGGCTGAGGACCTGAAGGTGCAGCTGGAACACACCCAGTCCAAGCTGAGAGAGATCCAGGTGTCTGTGTCCGAGAACCGCACTGCCAGAGAGAGGGAGTTGGGCAACCTCAAAAGAGCACAGGTACACACAACTACTGACAAGTCTGTCCATTCTAGCCCTGATATGTTAATTTGTCAAACCCCTAAAAGTCTTCAGCGATTACAGTGGGAAAGAAAATTAGAGCGTGTGAATGTTAACTGTAGGTTTAATATGGTCGTGAAGAGGGCACGACAACGCCTATTCCCCCTCAGAAGACTGAAAAGATCCTAAAAAAGTTATACAGCTGCACCATCGAGAGCATCCTGACTGGTTGCATCACCGCCTGGTATGGCAACTGCTCGGCCTCTGACCGCAAGGCGCTACAGAGGGTAGTGCGTACGGCCCAGTACATCACTGGGGCCAAGCTTCCTGCCATCTAGGACCTCTATACCAGGCGGTGTCAGAAGAAGACCATAAAAGTTGAAGACCGACTCCAGCGGTACCAGAGCGCCAAGTCTAGGTCCAAAACGCTCCTTAACAGCTTCTACCCCCAAGCCATAAGACTGCTACACAGTCAATCAAATGGGTACCCGGACTGCTACTCGCTGTTTATTATCTATGCATAGTCACTTTACCCCTATCTACATGTACACTACCAGTCAGAAGTTTTAGAACACCTACTCATTCAAGAGTTTTTCTTAATTTTTACTATTTTCAACATTGTAGAATAATAGTGAAGACATCAAAACAATGAAATAACACATGGAATCATGTAGTAACCAAAAAAGTTTCATTCCAGGTGACTACCTCATTAAGCTGGTTGAGAGAATGCCAAGTTTGATTCCATAAGTTTTAGAACACCTACTCATTCAAGGGTTTTTCTTTATTTTTACTATTTTCTACATTGTAGAATAATAGTGAAGACATCAAAACTATGAAATAACACATATGGAATCATGTACAGTCGTGGTCAAAAGTTTTGAGAATGACAAGTATTGGTATTAACAAAGTTTGCTGCTTCAGTGTTTTTAGATATTTTTGTCAGATGTTACTATGGTATACTGAAGTATAATTAAAAGCATTCCATAAGTGTCAAAGGTATTTGTTGACAATTATATTAAGTTTATGCAAAGAGTCAATATTTGCAGTCTTGACACTTCTTTTTCAAGTCCTCTGCAATCCGCCCTGGCATGCTGTCAATTCACTTCTGGGCCACATCCTGACTGATGGCAGCCCATTCTTGCATAATCAATGCTTGGAGTTTGTCAGAATTTGTGGGTTTTTGTTTGTCCACCCGCCTCTTGAGAATTGACCACAAGTTCTCAATGGGATTAAGGTCTGGGGAGTTTCCTGGCCATGGACCCAACATTTCGATGTTTTGTTTCCGGAGCCACTTAGTTATCACTTTTGCCTTATGGCAAGGTGCTCCATCATGCTGGAAAAGGCATTGTTCGTCACCAAACTGTTCTTGGATGGTTGGGAGAAGTTGCTCTTGGAGGATGTGTTGGTACCATTCTTTATTAATGGCTGTGTTCTTTAGGCAAAATTGTGAGTGAGCCCACTCCCTTGGCTGAGAAGCAACCCCACACATGAATGGTCTCAGGATGCTTTACTGTTGGCATGACACAGGACTGATGGTAGCGCTCACCTTGTCTTCTCCAGACAAGCTTTTTTCCGGATGCCCCAAACATTCGGAAAGGGGATTCATCAGAGAAAATGACTTTACCCCAGTCCTCAGCAGTCCTTGTACCTTTTGCAGAATATCAGTCTGTCCCTGATGTTTTTCCTGGAGAGAAGTGGCTTCCTCGCTGCCCTTCATGACACTAGGCCATCCTCCAAAAGTCTTCGCCTCACTGTGCGTGCAGATGCGCTCACACCTGCCTTCTGCCATTCCTGAGCAAGCTCTGCACTGGTGGTGCCCTGATCCCGCAGCTGAATCAACTTTAGGAGACGGTCCTGGCGCTTGCTGGACTTTCTTGGGAGCCCTGAAACCTTCTTCACAACAATTGAACCTCTCTCCTTGAAGTTCTTGATGATCCGATAAATGGTTGATTTAGGTGCAATCTTACTAGCAGCAATATCCTTGCCTGTGAAGCCCTTTTTGTGCAAAGCAATGATGATGGCACGTGTTTCCTTGCAGGTAACCATGGTTAACAGAGGAAGAACAATGATTTCAAGCACCACCCTCCTTTTAAATCTTCCGGTCTGTTATTCTAACTCAATCAGCATGACAGAGTGATCTCCAGCCTTGTCCTCGTCAACACTCTCACCTGTGTTAACGAGAGAATCACTGACATGATGTCAGCTGGTCCTTTTGTGGCAGGGCTGAAATGCAGTGGAAATGTTTTTGGGGGATTAAGTTCATTTTCATGGCAAAGAGGGACTTTGCAATTAATTGCAATTCATCTGATCACTCTTCATAACATTCTGGAGTATATGCAAATTGCCATCATAAAAACTGAGGCAGCAGACTGTGAAAATTAATATTTGTGTCATTCTCAAAACTTTTGACCACAACTGTAGTAACCAAAAAAGTGTTAAACAAATATTTAATATTTGAGATTCTTCAAATAGCCACCCTTTGCCTTGATGACAGCTTTGCACACTCTTGGCATTCTCTCAACCAGCTTAATGAGGTAGTCACCCTTGGTTACTACATAATTCCATGTGTTATTTCATAGTTTTGATGTCTTCACTATTATTCTACAATGTAGAAAATAGTAAAAAATAAAGAAAAACCCTTGAATGAGTAGGTGTTCTAAAACTTTTGACCGGTAGTGTACATATTACCTCAACTACCTTGACTAACCTGTACCCCCACACATTGACTTGGTACTGGTACCCCCTGTATATAGCCTCATTATTGTTTATTTTATTGTTACTCTTTTATTTGTTTTACTTTAGTTTATTTAGTAAATATTTTCTCAACTCTCATATTTCTAAACTGCATTGTTGGTTAAGGGCTTGTAAGTAAGCATTTCACGATAAGGTCTACACCTGTTGTATTGGTGCATGTGACAAATAACATTTGATTTGATTTCACTACTAAAGTAGTTGACTGTCTGTCTAACTTATAGGAGGACCTGTCCAGGCTACGACGAAAGCTGGAGAAGCAGAAGAAAGTGGAGGTGTACACTGATGCTGATGAGATCCTGCAGGAGGAGATTAACCAGTACAAGGTGAAAAAAGAAACTTGACCAATCTTGATGGAATAGCCTTACTTTTTGTTTTATCAATTGCATGAGGTGGTACATGTGAGAAGGTTCACATAGTGTGTCTTGTGGTACATTTTCTATCCAAATTGACCCTGCCATTTTCTCTCATCCACCCCTTCGCAGGCGAAGCTGCGTTGTCCGTGCTGCAACACCCGCGACAAGGAGACGGTGCTCACCAAGTGCTTCCACGTGTTCTGCTACGAGTGTCTGAAGACGCGCTACGACACCCGACAGAGGAAGTGCCCCAAGTGTAACTGTGCCTTCGGGGCCAACGACTTCCACCGCATCTACATCACCTAACTCCGTTACCATGGAGAGGAGGAATAGAAGAGAACAGTGAACAGAGCCAAAGGAGAGGGAGACAAATATAATAGTGAGGGTGTGGTTGGAGAGGTGTCGGGAGAGCTTAGTTTCTCAGTTTTAATGGCTCCTTTTGGAAAGACTTTCTTAAATTGCATCATTGCCGGTTGGTGCTAGTGACCAAACAGATAGAGAGTTGTGATTGATTGAGATGTACGGTAGGTAGTAATAAAAACAGAAGTGCTCATGCACACATACCAAGGTATTACTACTTCTGTTTTTCTGTCCCATCTTAGTTTGTCAGATCTTGCCCATGTGGAATTCTTCACTTTTAACCGAGCCCATTTTTAAGCTGTTATTCACCTTTTAAAAGTGAACTGGGATGTTGTCGTGGTGCTGTATGATTTGTATACAGACTTACCCAGAATCATCCTTTAGAACACCTGTATGTGCTTGTTTTGGATATTCTAAGAAAATAGATTCTCAAGAACTGAGATTCCTTTACTGGACACATATTAGTTCAGACGTTGTGTACATTACGACTCCATTCAGTTGAAATTGAGTTTCTTTCATTATCGTAATGATCAGGTTATGCACCTGTGGAGAGATTTCACCGGATAATGCTATTGTCAATACCTAGGAATCATTCGACATAAAGTTGGCAGTTAAGTTTGACTTAGAATCAGCACAAACAGGAGTGTTAAGGATAACATGTTATAACCAAGCCCGTTGCTAGCAGATCGAGCGCCTCAGTCACACACAACATCTGCAGGTTTTAGTGCTTCATTACTAATGACATTTCAGTGGAAGAGTCAGCTCACGAGTGTCATCTTAAGTGGGCTGTCCCATCCAGCTCTTTCAAGACTACTTAAAGATTACTGGAACATTAAAGGGGCAATATGTAATATTTTTGCATTGTAATTTCAGAAAAAGGTCCTTAATGTATCTACAGTAATAGTGGAAGGATAGTTTCACTATATTTATTCCCCCAAAAAATTTTTGGGGCCCACACGAAATTCCATTCTAATGGTGCAGACTTCTTGACTGGGGCCATCAAAGGGCAAGAAATCACTCAGCCCCAGTCAATTTGACAACTAGAGACGGTCCGTTGTTGAATTGTTACATGTAGTACCTTTAAAGTCTCAAAACATATGTTACAACCATGTTCTGCCTTAATGGAATCTCTGAACCCCCTTTTCCTCAGTTCTGATGATGCTAGCTGTTTATTGAGAGCTTGGTGATGTGTTTGATGTTAGCTCCTGTGAGAACCAAAATCATAGCTGGCCTCAAAAAACCACAGTGAGACTCTTGTGATCTAAAGTAAATTGCAAAAAAACATAATACATCTGTTCAAAATAAGACCTCTATAATATTTTGTTGTAATGTTTGAGTTTTGTGACTCAGGATATTTGGATTGGTATTAATGAGTGGACAGTGTGGGCTCTGTGTTATGAACATACATGCCATAGACAAAGGAGCAGTTCTCATTTGGAACATAGTGATCATTTTGTATTTCACAGAGCGTAGAAGTTGTACGTTTTCCTAGTAAAAACATACACTTGTGCATCATGAGTTGACTGTTGAATACATTTACTCATCTTCGGGTTTTCTGACCTGAACCTTTTGGGAGGTGAACAATGGGATAATGTTTGATCTTGCAAAAAAATTAGGAGTGTCCACTTGTGCGCCTAACATTTGGTTGCCCAATACTGTATATAGGAGGCAGGGTTAACGTTAGCCGGTAATAGCCGGCTTCTGTTTTTTTTTTAAACAGTAAAGCCAATAAAATCAAATGTGCACAGTCCAATTGTCCAGGAGAAGGGGGAAAAATCCCATTGCGAAATAATACTTTATAGCCTATTAATTGATGGAAATACCAGTTGATGTAAATACATTTGACTGGTCATGCTTATCGGTCTATGGGTTAATTTGCATAATTTAGTGTAATTCAATTGGCGTGTATATTCGTAATGTATCTTATTTATCACACGCGCACAGCATACAGATACAGGGCCTTTGAGCGGAAAATCTGTCAGTCTGCGCTTTATAAGCCCAATCATTGCTCAACAATTCTAAATGCAATTGTGTTTTACAAATAGTTGTGGCCATGATTAAAAAGAGCCACTATTTTTGTTTCTCAACTGGTAATTGAAGCGCATTTCCCATTCGCCATTCGAATGCATAGGCAATGGAAGGCAGGATTCATCAGGGCGTGTAACACCACAATGAGCTCGAAGCAGACCCGTCGCCAGACCTCAGTCTTAAGGGGGGCATATGAAATGCATGGGAGGGCAGGGCACAATTATTATTAGCCTACAGTACGTATATTTAATAATAAATTCCCTCAAGTGGAGGGGGCACAAGCATTTTTGGGGGCGGGCCTGGCCCCCTATGGCCCGCCCATAGCGACGGGTGTGGCTCGAAGCACTATGCATTTTGAAAACATAGCTATTTAATTGTTTGAAACCTGAACGTTTTACTACATATGAGGCATGTTTTACCTTGCTTCAAAGTAGACTTGGCAAAATCCTACAATATTCGTTTCCGTATGCCATTGAAAGAAGTAGTCTATTTGTCTCATGTTTTATTGGTTTTCATCAACTTTCTTGAATTGTCTGGTAGCCAAATGCACATTCGCGCATTGCTGCGCTAATAATGTTAAGAAATAATAGTTCAACATTTTAAGCTAAACATTCTGATCTGTTGCATCAGATTAATTTCTTTTTAATGTTTTTATGTAGCCTAGGCCTACTGGTTGTATGAATTTGGGATCTATTGTCCCACAACTGTCCCAGAGTCTGTTTGGAATAGGCTATTTCTTTCTCAACAAGCTGACCAATAGAATAGGTAAACTTTTCTACCATGGGGAATAGTAGATTGACATACAGTGCATTCGAAAAGTATTCTGACTTTTTCCACATTTTGTTACCTTACAGCCTTATTCTAAAATGGATTACATTTCTCTGCAGATCCTCAAGCTCTGTCAGGTTGGATGGGGAGCGTCGCTGCACAGCTGTTTTCAGGTCTCTCCAGAGATGTTCGATCGGGTTCAAGTCCGGGCTCTGGCTGGGCCACTACTGCGTTGTCTTGGCTGTGTGCTTAGGGTCGTTGTCCTGTTGGAAGGTGAACCTTCACCCCAGTCTGAGGTCCTGAGTGCTCTGGAGCAGGTTTTCATCAAGGATCTCTCTGTACTTTGCTCTGTTCATCTTTCCCTCGATCTTTCCCAGTCCCTGCCGCTGAAAAACATCCCCACAGCATGATGCTGCCACCACCATGCTTCACCGCAGGGATGGTGCCAGGTTTCCTCCAGACGTGGCGCTTGTTTCTCATGGTCTGAGAGTCTTTAGGTGCCTTTTGGCAAACTCCATGCAGGCTTTCAAGAGCCTTTTACTGAGGAGTAGCTTCCATCTGGCCACTCCACCATAAATGCTGATTGGTGGAGTGCTGCAGAGATGGTTGTCCTTCTGGAAGGTTCTCCCATCTCCACAGAGGAACTCTAGAGCTCTGTCAGAGTGACCAAGGCCCTTCTCCCCCGATTGCAAACAATTCTAAAAACTTGTTTTCGCTTTGTCATTATGGGGTATTGTGTGTAGATTGATGAGGATTTGTATTTATTTAATCCATTTTAGAATAAGGCTGTAACGTAACAAAATGTGGAAAGTCAAGGGGTCTGAAAGTCAAGGGGTCTAATATAATACTTTCCAAATGCACTGTAGGCTCATAGGTGGCGAGTCCATATGGCTAAGATTTCCCAAAGTAAATTGAATTAAATTGCCAAAATTATATAGCCTAATTAACCTACTCCTGTCTATACATGATTTGGTCACAGAGGATCATTAGCTTCCCCTAGCCTTAAAATAAAAATAAGTTGTGGATTGTTTTTAATTGGGTCTGTGCTGCAGGCTGCTATATAGGTCCACTAATACAGGACTTTTAAAGGCCCAGTGCACTACTTTTGTGATTTGTATTTATTGAATTAATATTTTTCAGGGGGTGCTCCAGCACCCCTACTTCCTGTGGCTATGATAGCCTAGCTTATTGGCACCAGGAGGCCATATCCCCATGCACATATTCATTCTTTATCATTGTTGGGTCAGTGCCACTTAAGTTTGTTTTTGGACAATAATTTGCAGAGTAAGCAACCCTGTAATGTGTTAAAAATATATATATATATATCTGCTAATGTCTCCAGTCATATAAAGTGTAGTAGAATTGCATGAAATGTGTTTTTCCTGTGCAAAGAAAGAAACGTAGGCCTATCTGATATAGCCTATAGGCCAGACCTCTACCCTATGAGCTCAGCTATGCATTGAAAATGATTTGTTTGCCTACAGTGATTGGATAGTCATAATTTTGGCTAATAATATAACAATCTACTCATCACATTACGTAAGTCTGCAAATGCGATTATACATGGGATGCTTTATTATAAAGGTGCATTTTTATGGTGAAAATGTACTTACCCAAACTTGAAACTCACACGCTGCCTAAGCATAGGCTAGTGATAATGCTGTTCATTACTGGTCTTGTTGGCTGAGGAAAAGTAAATGTGGACAGTAATTCTAACCTCTTCAAAGTGCGCAGTAAGGACACATAATTCCATCCTTGATTTACATGTTCTGTTAAGATGAATTACCACAATCTAAATGTGATTTCTGTAATTCTGAGTACCGTGGTGGACGCCCTAATCAGGTTATGCACCCAATGCATAAATTAGAATGCTGCAGGTCAAGTCCAGTGCCACATTTTCATAATGGAAACCCTGATAGGAGGGGTTTTGTTTGTGTTGTGTTTTTACTGATTTTGCTACTTAATGAGAATGGCGACAAGCCCCTATTGAACACTGCAACAGCTGCAGAGTCTAATCATGTGAACCAAGATAATGATGATCTTCTCTAATATTAGTCATCTCTGTAGTGTTTCTCAGAAAAGTACAACTTTGCATCACAAAAGTTCCTCATTTGTGAGATTTTACACAACCCTAAATGTATTCAACCCCA